CCTGTTACCTCTTGGGCAAAACTTTTCTAGAGAATTGCCCCAGGGCCTCCTGGCATAATAAGAGAGTTGGGGGTGAGGACGGAGCAAACCTGAGCTGAAAATACTCTAAGACAAGTCTGTGTAGGTGCCGACTGATCAGCCTGTAGATGAGATGGAACATGGATCGATAAACAGCTCTGTTCTCCTGGCAATTAAAACTATGCTCGTATGGACAAGGATAAAAACACTCCTTTCCATTTTCTTCAATAACTTCTACACATGTAAAGTTCTTCCAGATGGGTTCTTTCTTGTTTGCACATACAGGACACACTCAGGATTTGAGGTCACAAAGACCCGAGTCCAATTTCTACCTCTGCCACCTGCCAATCACAGGACCTGGGGCAAATTCCCCCTCAGAGTCTTATACCTTGACTTTTTAACTGTATTAGAGCGTTTAGCTCAGTGCCCACTGCTTAAGAAGGGCAGGAAAAATAGCAGTTATTCTCATCACTGTTAGTATTGTCCTTTAGAAGGATGAAGGGTACACATGAATAAAAAAAACTCCATTCTATTGAGATGACACAGCCCTTGCAAAATCACTTCAGGCCAGGCACGGTGGCACATGCCTCTAATCCCAGTGATTTAGGAGGCTGAGGCAGGAGGATTGTAAATTCAAAGCTAGCCTCATCAATTAGGTGAAGCTCTAAGCAATTTAGCGAGAACCTGTCTCAAAATAAATAAATAAATAAATAAAATAAAAAGGGCTGGGGATGTGGCTCCGTGGTTAAGTGCCTCTGGGTTCAGTCCCTGGTACAAAAACAAAATAAAAACCACTCCAGATACTGGGAGCCCTGGCCCCTCAGAATCCCTGGACTCTTGCTTTCTTCAAGCAGAGCACTAACTACTAGAGATGCAACCAGTTACCTTTTCTGGCCTCGTTCCTGGCCCCTTCTTCTCCACCTCAACCTCTCTCTTCCTACCCCAACCATGGTGATAGGAAATTCATGGGAAATGGGAGAAAGCCGACTGGGGTCAACTGCAGAGTTCTCAGTCAGGGTTGATTGACTTTACAGACAGAGTAATTTGCATGGTGAACGAGCTAGCGGCCCTGATGATGGGTTCCAGACCCTTGTTCCTCCAGCCCTAACTTTGGACTAAGACCAGAGCTGGGGGTCAGAAAATGTCCAGGCTTAAGGCAAGCAAAGCTGGGCTCACACACTTTTCCTGTTTGGGCTGACAGTTTCACATGCCAGTCTGGGGAGGGAACTGTCCAGAAGAAGAGTTAAGAAATTTGGGTGGAGACCCAGGAGTAGTTAGTTTCATTCTGGGCTTGTTTCCTCACTTACTGAGGGAAGATCTTGAGCTTGAACAAGGCCTGCTGTCCTTTCTGGTTTAACATCCTGAGTTGATTTCTTTGCCTATTCAAAGTCTTTTGGTGACATATGCTGATGAGATGTAAATTTAGTTACATATGTGGATTAGATGTAAATTGGCATGCAAAGGAGCATCATTTTCCTGCTGTTGGAGCAGAAAGGCAGGGAGGAGAGGACCAGAATGAGGGCTTCCCAGAAGGTTCTGGGAGTCAGCCAGGTTTCTCTCAGGACTCTGAAAATGTCTAGGTCTGTTCCCCACTAACAGGTCCTGAGCAGCATCTGAGAGCTGAAGCAAGGAGACCCCAAGGGTGGCCTTTCCTGTCAGTGCAGGGCCCTGCCCCCCGGGGAAGGTACAGGGTAGAGTCAACAAGCTCAGGACCCCATGGGAGATGCCGAAGCTGCCAGGGGAAGCAAAAGACCAGAGAAGTTTTGCCCCA